TCAGAGCATAAATTGCAAGGTTTGGAGGGTGAGAGTAGAGGCTGAAGAGATATAATAGGTGCTGGGTTATGGTGGGTCTTGTGTGCCGTGATAAGTACCTTAGGCTGGCACACTTGAATTTTATAGATTACTTAGGCTGCAAAGTGCAGAATTCATTTCAAGGGCACAGGTTAAGACAAGAAGGTTAGGAAGTTATTGGACTAGCCCAAGCCATAGATAATGAGGGTTTGTCCTAGGATAACATTAGGGATGTTCCAGGGAAGGGACTGGTTCTAAGAACAACTTAGGAGGTAAAATTTGCCAGACTTGATGATTATTCAGATGAAGAGAATGACAGAGAGGAAAGCGCCTAGGTTGTCTCTGGGGTTTCTGGCCTGGATGTCGGGGTGGATGCTGGTGCCATTAACTGAGATCAGAAATAGTGGAAGAGGAATTAAAAGAGGTGAGAACCAGGAGGACAGGTGGGTTCAGCTCTAGCCACATTGTGCTGAGATACCCCTGAGACATGCAGGTAGATATATCTTGAGTGAAGTTTAATATTTGAATGTGAAGCTCAAAAGCATTAGGATTGGAGATATGATTTGAGAGTCATAAATATACAGAGGTAGTGGCAAAAATTACACAGAGAAATAAGCTCAGGAAAGAGATGGTGTAAAGAAAGATGAGTAGGGAGGCAAGGATGATACATAGAGAATGCTGCTGTTCAAGGGGAAGAGAAGAGAAGCTACCAAGGGACCAAGAGAAGTACAGGTAGCACAAGGATGAAATGGTTCCATGGAACCAGAGGAGTAGAGAATGCAAAAAAGAGCAAGTGACCAAAAGAGTCCAGTGAAGCAGAGAAGTCCAGCAGGGTAAAAAAGACAAAGTGTGCAACAATCCAGTCAATACAGAGGTCATGGTGCCCGATGCAAGACTGACCCTGGGGAAGCCAGACTGCAAGCCTGGCGGAGGGAGTGAGAAGTGAGGAAGTGCAGACAGCAAGTATAGACTGCTCTTTGAGGATCTTGTCTCAGAAAAAAAAGGAGAAAGTTGAGATTGTAGCTAGAGAGGGCATCACAGTCAGAGGACTTACAGGATGGAAAAGCCTTGAAGAGTTTTATATTCAGAAAGAGCCATTCAATCCTGCACACCCAACTCTCTTGTCCTTCCTGTCCCACCTGAACACTGCTGCTTTGAAGGGCCAGAGTTAGCCCACGTTTCTATCTTTTGGGTCCTTTCCAAGTCAGTCATATTTCCATTTCCACACCCACACTCAAACGTTTTACTTACCCAGTAACATCTGGCTTGCCCAGAGCAGAGCAGGGGAAAGGTAGAGGGCCCAAGCCTGGAGGACACAGCCCGGTTTCATGGTGATGGTGTTTAGGTCTCCTGCAACCCCAACACACTGATTTTCTTCAACACGAAACCTCAAATTAGAAAAGAGGAAGTAAATTTAACTGCCTCATCTTCTTGCATCTGGGGACTATTTTCAATTTTGTGATTGGCTTTCATCGGTCATATTTGGCCAGGTTGGTTCCGGCATCATCAGCATCATTAGGGTTGTGGATAAAATGATAGCATTCTCAATTGTTCGAGAATTCCCTCGCAGAGCTCGGAGACCTGTCAAAGCATGTAATTGCCTGATAGCCAATTGGCCTTCATGTTCACTCTGGGAAAGGTCAGTGCGACACCCNGCGGGCAGCTGACCTCTGCAGGGGCAGCTTTGTGTGACAGCTCAGGGTCACTGGGCCTCCCTCTTGGGGCTCAGTTGAGGGTGTAGCTCTGAGGACAGGGGCTGGAAACAGTTCTGGGGGAAAGACGGGCAAGAAGGAAGAGCTCAGCCATCCTACATTCAAGTAGACCCAGGAGAGGCAAAGAACTCCAGTCACACTTCCTTTCCTCTGTGTCCATCAGGAATGGAAACAGCCTCCCACTCCATAATCCAGATCCCTCCGTTTGAACCTTTCAAGTTCTCTCTCTCTCCAAGTAGACAGGACTAGAAAAGATCCAGAGATGGGCCAGTCTGACAGTAGTCCAGACACCCAATCAGGGAGCACTGATCTGGGTGGTAGGAAANCACACACCAAACAGTCTCCAGCTTATTGTTCCTGCATGCTCTGTGTCCCTTCTTAACCTGCACACACACACACACACAGACACACACACCAAACAGTCTCCAGCTTATTGTTCCTGCATGCTCTGTGTCCCTTCTTAACCTGCTCACACACACACACACACACACACACACCAAACAGACACATACATACTAACTCACCCTGCACCCTGATCTCCAACTGGGGGCTCTGTTTCCAAACTTGGTTGTCCCCAGTGACGGCGTCACACCAGTAGGACCCAGAATGCTCTTCTGAAGCTGAGGGAATTTGGAATTCTGAGGAGAGGCCCCTGCTTCGCACTATCCTTCCATCCTTATAGAAGGAGAAGAGGAAGCGGGCAGCTGACCTCTGCAGGGGCAGCTTTGTGTGACAGCTCAGGGTCACTGGGCCTCCC